CCTTCCCCCCTTCTCTGGGGCCACATGCTGCTTGCTCTTGCTCTTCCTCCCCGAATCTCATTCACTTTCATGAGGCTGGGGTAGGGGTGCAGGCTCTAGTCTTGGGTGTGTAGCAAATGCCTTATCACCCGAGGCCAGTGTTTCAACTTTTTATTTTATAAAATACCCCTTTTAAAAAAAAATTATAAGTACCCCCAGTACCTACAGTTCACTTGTGTTTTTTTTTTTAAACTGTTGCAACACATTTGTTTAAACAACTTAATTGTAGCTGGGTGGGTGGTGAAATATTTGGGTGTAAAGTACAAAAATACAAATGCTGTAAAACTTAAATTCAGTTCTCCAAATTTCAGTTGTGTTGCTGTAGCCCCAGACCTCTCTTGGGTGTCTCTAGAGGTTGGTGGCCACTGCCCTAGGCCATTCCAGGGTCTGCCCCCTCACCTTTGGGAAGTCCCTTATCCTGCCTTCCTACTACAGAAGCCAGGTCCATCCCTCAGGCTGCCTATGTTGGCAGCCCAGCCATTGCCTGAGTGGGTGGAGGGGGGGGGGATCAAGCCCACCAGCCTGTGCTCCAGAGGCAAATGCCCATCCCCAAGTTGACTGGAGATCTCACTCCACCTCCCTACCTTCAAGTCACCCCCTCCGCCCATCCTGGGAGTGACCAGACACAGGATAAGGGACCCCCTGAAGGTAGGGAGGGCTCTAGAGTGGGCTAGGAGATAGGGCAGTTGCCTGGGGAAGCACAGAGTGGTGGGTTCAAGTCCTGCCCACCCTGGGAGCAGCTGGAAAGCTGCCCGAAGGATGGAACAGCAGAGCCCAAGCAGCCCCATCCCATCCCCTAAGTTAGCACATGGAGCCATTGCTGTACATGCCAGCTGCCCCTCATCCACAGGCACTGACTCCACAGCATCCACTGGCCACAGTTCTCCATCATTGATCAATGGGAGCTGCAGGAGTAGATCCTGCTGGCAAGGACAGTGTGTAGAGAACCCCTGCTCCAACCTTCAAGGGGCTGCAGGGACATGCTAATCACCTCCAGGAATACAATTAACCCTAAGGATAATCACTGCAGACATGACAGGTTAGGTATGTTAAGTACTCAAAGAATTAAATTTAGGCATAAGAGAGAAATGAAAGTTATGAAATGCACTGACCAGTCAAAAAGTAAAACTAACCCACTTTGCAAGCAGTAAAAGTAGTAACAACCCCCCATGTACATGTTGGGTTGGGTCAGGAGATGAAAGGAAGGACAGCATGGCTCTATCTACACTCACAGCTTCTTGCACAAGAATCCGTAGAGTGTCTACACTGCCTGCCCGCTCTTGCACAAGAAAATTTACAGTACGGTGTGGTAAGAGAGGACTTCTTGCACAAGAGCTATGCTCTTTAACAAGTGTAAGCCCTCTTGCGCAGGAGCTCTTGCGCAAGAGGGCAGTGTGGACACTCGGAAGGGATTTCATGCACAAGAAAGCCCTATGGCTAAGATGGCCATCGGAGCTTTCTTGCGCAAGAGAGCATTCACACTGCCATGGGAGCTCTTGCACAAAAGCACAGCATGCACATGGCAGTGTGGACATTTTCTTGCGCTAGACTTCTTGCGCAAGGGTTCTTGTGCAAGACACAAGTGTAGACATAGCCCATGTGTTTGTGAGAATGACAGATTTGCATTGCTGAGCTCCCTCCATCCCCTTCTCTGTGTGAAGATGGGGTACAGGATTGGGGGGAGGGATACCCTGACATCAGTACCCCCCTCCTCCCTCCCACACGCTGCACAGCAAGCAGGAGGCTTTCAAGGGGCACCTTCAAGGCCAGAGGACAGAAACAGCATGATAGTGGGTAAAGAGGCAACTGAAGTGCTAGCACTTGTGAGCTTCCTGGCCAAACCAGTCAGAGGCTCCAAGATCTACTGGTAGATCCTGGTCTACTGGTTGGTGACCACTGCAGTACAGGGTAATGGGAAGCTATACTAGACAACAAAGAATCAATGAACAGAGGTTTAAAGAAACTATCATCCTAAAGTCATTCTGTGTAACAGGAATACCTACCCGGACTGATGCTATGGAGAGGCTGTTACTCGATCAACATACTGTGAAAAGTATAATTTTATATTCTATTATACCTGTTAAAGTGCCCTGTTGCAGATTCCACAGAACTAAGGATTACTGAAGGCAGTAATTACTGAGTGAAATCAAAAACAAAAGGTTTGTCCACAATAAGATGCTATAGCTTCCTTCGCAACAGGGGTGTACAGCCCAACCAACGTAGCTGTAGCAACCATTCCTGTTCTGAATGAACTTGCCAGGATAGACTAATATGGCTACACCTCTGAGATTCAGGTTAGGAGTTAAACACAATGGTCCTGTGGCACCTTAGAGGTCAACCAAAAAATAAATAGTATAATGAACTTTTCATGGGACACAACCAGTTTCAGCTCACTGCTACACACTCCCTTTTAATGACACTGTGTAGTATCATTTGGGATTTCTGAAATGGTGTGCCTCTTTACCACTAAGCATTTCCTCAATAGATACACATGCATCTCCATAGGGAGAAACTAGTATCACTTTTCATATATTCCAGATGCAAGAGAAAGCCTTTCAACCCCCTCCTCCGCAAATAGGGTTAAACACTGAAGAGGATTGCTCATTTTACACTGAAAGTGTAGTTCTTTCACAAATACACCAAACCAGCTCCTTATATTACTTTATATAAAAGTTTAAGAAATACTTATGAGCTACCAGGAAAAGCAGTCTTTATTCTGTTTGGCAGGATACTCAAGTGAATTTTACTTTATAGGTTGCTTATATAACTTGGTCTCACTTCTGTCCTTGAATCAAGCTTTTTTTCCAATGGCGAAATCAAATTTATTCAAAATCAGATTAATCACTTACTTCACATTAGCGCCAAGCCTCTGGCATTTCTCAGATGGAATAAGACCTTGTATCTCCAGGCTATGTACTCTTCTTTTAAGCAGAGTGATGGTTGTAATACAGATGTTACCCTACTGCTTAATTTCAAATAAGGGTCACAGAACCTCTCCTGCTATTAAGTTGGCATTTAACAAGAGTGAAACAAGTGACATACCACTTAACATAGAAACCTATATAAGACCCCCAAAAACAAGCAGAGAGGAGCTTCTCAGAGAAATAAGCAGCCTTGTGGATTCAAGTCTGCTTTCTGCAGCCCTCCTCTGTAAGACAGCTCTTCCTAGGAGGGGGACTGTGGGTGGGCAGCCAGCCCACTCTTTTTATGATTCCTCATGTTCTGAAGAGGGGTGTCAATCATTATGAAATTTTACTTAGTAGCAAGACCTAGTGGGATTTCAATTATAGCTATCTTTGATATGCTCCTTAAAGCAACAGCAAGGGAAAAAAGAATGAATTAGATGTGAAAGATTCCTTCTATCTGTTGTGAGTTTTTGAAAGGCAGAGGCAAAGAACTCAGCTGGACTTGATAAGTGATTTGACATTTAACTGGCTTTTTATCCTTACAAGCAGTTAGAGTTTTGAAGCAATGTGAGAATTACCTACTAGCCTTTACAAGTCACCACCCCTGAGGCTGTCACCAAGGCTGGAACAAGCTATCCAGCATCTGATCACTGCAGTGTTTCTTGTACCATCCTCTAGTCTAGAAGAGGGCCTGCCAAGCCTTTGGCTCGGGCTTGCAGTGACCTGCAGGCAGGGTCTCTGCCTGCCGCAACTCCAGGCCACTCAAAGTGGTCTGCCTCAGGAGCCATGTTCCTCTAGAAACTGCAGGCCAATGGGAGCTGCAATGACTGTGCTGGACCAATGTGTTAATTATTCTCTACCCTCCCTGCCCAAGCACACAGCCCAGACAGGTACATGACTAGGGCTGTGGCAGGCAGCCTAGGTAAGCACCTTCCAGCCAAAGCCTGCATCTTGCACCTCATCCCCTTCTGTACCCCAGTTCCAACCATTTGCACCCCACCCTGTGTAAGTCACAACTACCTCCCAGATCCTCTCCTGAACCCATAACCCCTCCCTGACCCTTCCTCCCCCCCCTTCATAACCCAAACCCCCTGCAACCTTCCCCTAGGTTAGAGCAGGAAGATGATAAAGTGTATGCATTTCTTGCTGTGACATCTATTTCAGTGGTTGCCAACCTACGATCCACAGCCCCCTGGTGGTCTGTGGTGGTAATGCTGGAGGTCAAGGGAAAGTTTAAGGTGGGCCCAATCTTTGCTTTTCTTTTCTCTTCCCTTCCCTTCCCGGGGGAGGGGATGTAAGCCTGAAATTTTACTGATTGAAAAGAGGTCCAAATACCCAAAGAGGTTGGGAACCACTGACCTAGCTCATCCAGTTGAGTGCTATTTTGCATACAAAACATGGATAATTTGTGCATGGAATAGTATCAAATGTAATTACTATGCGGTTTCTAAACATGATACATGGCAAACTGCTTAACCCAAAAACATAGCCTGTACTAGAGGCTGTGTCTAAACTACATCCCTTTTCCTCGAAAAAGGGATGTAAATTAGACATGTCAAAATTTCAAATGAAGCTGGGATTTAAATTTCCCACACTTCACTTGCATAATGGCAACCACCGTTTTTCAAAAAGGGGCTTTTTGGAAAAAAATGCAGCCATCATTATGCAAATGAAGTGCAGGAAATTTAAATCCCAGCTTCATTTGAAACTGAAGTGTCTAATTTACATCCCTTTTTCAAGAAAAGGGATGTAGTTTAGACAGCCAGAGTTCTCACTGTTACAGTGAAGACAGAAGAAACTGTCCCCACTACAATCCAGAAATAAAGCCTCTAAAGTTAGGCATTCCAGTAAAGATTTTAGCTGAAGTTTTTCATTGCTTAGAATCCTAGTTTTGATAAGATTTTTGGTAATGCTCAATTGAATGAGAAGATTGCAGTTTTGCTGCAATCTTTGCCATCATACTAACATGGTCACTGCCTAATTTCTGGTGACTATTCTTTTGCTGTAGGCAGGATTGTATCTGCTCGCTGTAGAAACAAATCTTAGGTAGTTATGCAAGTTATTCAAATTCTTTATTAAGAGATACATAAAAAATTCCAAAATAGTCAGTGCTCAATAAAAAGCTTCAAAATTAAGATTTAAAAGTCATGGCACAAAGGTGGCAAGTCAATGATTTCATCTAAGCTGGAGAGGAAGTTGGCAGTTGATTGTAGCAAGTCTGGAAGAGTTAAAAAGGGAATAAAAAAGAGTGTCTCATGAATCCCCACATTCTATTAAGTCACCTTATATTTCAGTTTAATCATTAAAGAGTTGGCAATTAGGTTTAAGATGTAAACCCGTTATCTGGTGGTTTGGTTCTCTTGAAAACAGCAAGAGGGCTATGCACAAGACCACTTAAGATGGTCTAGTCTGCTTAGACTACAGCTGCAAACCAGAAACTCGATGCCTCATGTTGAGAAAATTAGATTGCTCTGATATATGCCACTTATTCTTGCATTTATCCAATTGGCTGCGCAGTGGACAACAGAAGTGTCTGTTCCCCATCTACCCAGTCACCTCTTCAAATGAATGCAGCATTCTTCTCAACCTAGCTGATGCAGCTGATTAAGATGGACTAGCTATAGCACACAGGGATATGGATTTTATCTTCCTAACCCCCCAACCAACAATAAAAAAGTCACACTGAAATCCAGCTCAGGCTTTACTGAAATCCAGCTCAGGCTACACTGAAATCCAGCTCAGGCTTTACTTACCACATTCCCATGAAATTGGTGACAGCTTCACAGGTGAAGGGACCATGTTTATAGAGCTAACGGATATATTCTTGTCAATCATCAATAGAGGAACTCCAGTCAGGGACAGGTGGCTTAATTTGTGTTCTTCAGGAATTTCAAAACTCTCAAAGTCTGTTCAGAGAGATTAGTTTAAGTTTTAGAGCTGCATGACTTTCCATTAGATTGACATCTGAGTGAAGAGTGTGCCTCAAACCCGAACATGTGTTGAAAGACTGAGTGCCCAGGCAGCTAGATGCTAAGATCTTAATAGCATATGGAATAACGTAGGCAGAGTTTATGCAATCCATTTGTTTCTTGATTAGGCAATACAGAACTATTAGAAATGACATTCTACCTACTTAGATTTAGTGCAACAATTAACAGAAGCAGTAAGGAATCCCTCCTATGGGCTGCTTGGCATGTGAAGAGCACTCATGGATGTGTGTGTTTAAGAGATAGTTACTTGCTACAAATGGGCCCTGAAATAAGAGCATATGCTTCTAAGGGTACATCTAGACTACAGGCTTTTGTCAGAGACTATCAACAGATACTGTCGACAAAGCCTCTATCGAAAAAGAGCGTCTAGACTACAGCCAGTTCCATCAACAAAGCAAGCCACTTTTTTACAGTCTAGACGCTTTTGAAAAAGCACAGTGTGGATGCAATAGTGCCTTTTTTCAACAAAGGTTGAAAAAAGGCTTTATTTCTCGTAAAATGAGGTTTACCACTGTTGACAAAATCTGCCAAGTTCTGTCGACAGTAGTGTAGACGCAGGTATAGTTTGTCAACAGAAGTCCACTTTTGTCGACAAAACCCTGTAGTCTAGACACACCCTAAGAAAGGGCATATTACTTTGAAGGTTTACCTTAAAGAGAACACTAAGATTTTAATGATAGAATCTTTTCCCCAAATATACTGGAAGAGCTTTTAGTAATCAAGCACTTACAGTGACAATGTAAACCCAAACAACTTGGTATTTTAGATTAAGGGAGCTGTTATGTTCATAAAAAGATGTATAGAAGACTTCAGGACCACATTCCCACTGAAGGCCTTGCATCTTCATTGCTTATGCTACATCCCTGTGGGACTTCTCATTATGTAATTTGAATATGATTTAGCATAAGGCATGACCCACCATTCTGTGCACAGCCTGCAAGATTTTAGAACAAGTGACCACCCCCTCCATTGAATAAATGATGGCTCAGAGGTGGAATGAAAACTGTCGATTGCCTACAGTTTGCCATTTGGATCCATGACAGCAATTTTTACATTATCTCATTCTTGGTAGAGATTAGCACTTTATCTGAAGTAGTGATATTCTTCAAACATGTGTCCCTTGTATTTGTTCTGCTAAGCCTTGATAGCCAAGACATTTCAAGAGTTACTCAAAGCAAGCTCACCAGCCTAGCAACAACCCTCCTATGGACATGAAGGTTAGTCTAAAAGTCAAACTACATCTTTAAGAACACTGCAGAGGCCAAGGTTAGTCAAGACAAATGTCATTTACAGTAGTGAGTCGGCCACACTGCAGCTTTCCACTCCAGTTGTCCTTCCAGTAGTCTAAGAAAGAATTTACGATTAAGTTAGGGGGATGACCTAAGTTTTTCCAGACAGAATTATTTGCTAGCAAGATCAGAAGTAGTTTCTAGAAAGTTATGCAGAAATCCTGGGATTCATAAGCAAGACCCCTTAGCTCGTTTTGCTTTTAGTAAGGTATTAATATTCCAGTTTGTTTGGAGTTACATGAAGGCCACTGACTCTGTATCTGCCAGATAACAGTTCACTAAATACCGAGTAAGACCAGCGTAAATAAAAGGAGCCAGAGTAACGCTGGTCTTCCAACTCCCTCATCTAAATAGAGGTCAGCTTAAGCAGTATGTTGTATTCAAGACTTGGGAAGGGATTTGTTTTGGTGTCACTCCCAACTGCTTTCCTACCAGAAAAGTATTCCACATAGAAGGAAACTGCCCCTTCCAATTCAGGGAAGATTCTGGATTACTGGCAATAGGTTTAGTCTTGCATTAACATGGAATCTTACTGCACTCAAATATCAAAATACCAGTAGCCAGCCTCTGCTCTTATTTCTAGAAGCTAGCTACATAGAGAACTATAGTGCATCTCCCAACTGCTTTCCTACCAGAAAAGTATTCCACATAGAAGGAAACTGCCCCTTCCAATTCAGGGAAGATTCTGGATTACTGGCAATAGGTTTAGTCTTGCATTAACATGGAATCTTACTGCACTCAAATATCAAAATACCAGTAGCCAGCCTCTGCTCTTATTTCTAGAAGCTAGCTACATAGAGAACTATAGTGCATTTTTCA